GCTTGCTCCCATGGTGACTTCGACTCCTGGCTCTATGCAAGCTCCGGGCGCACCAATGGACGGGATTCTTCCACCACCACCCCCTCCCACCTCGCAGCCATTATGAAGCGAAGTACGATTAACGCAGACGCGGTCAACAGCAAGAAGCGTCCACAACTTTATCCCCACGGATAAAACACCATTCCTGCATCATATACCCTAACTACACAACACTTCGCAGGCAAGTTCGGGCGGTGGCAGCATTATTTTACGGCGTTGGGAGGCTAGGTCTCTCCCATCTGGGCTCCGGCGTTAAAGTCTCAGGAAGGGGCGTGAGCTCTAAAGCACCGTATACCCGGTTTTCGCTATTTCATTGTTTCTCCATATGTCGTATAGTACAAGATGGACACATATATCGCCCTATCTCTCCATTTTCCGTCATCTATTTAGCATTTGCATGGTCGTTTGGCATTTTGTTTCTTTATCTACTACCATTGTATTCACAAAAACATCGTTTTTTATAATTTCAAGTCATTCAGTATAGGCGGGAGGCGGAGGAGATACCACGATGTTTCCAAGCGGGTCGGGATATTTGGCGGTTGGGCTCTGTGTTTCTCTCGACTACGAGGTCCACGAGTCTTTGCATGAGTCGGTGGAAGCGTTCTGCATATTTTGTCCTGCGCGGCTGGCGGCTACTAGGCTGCACAAGAGTCGCGGTTGGGGCACGATGTGCCTGCCCACCAGGGAAGGAGACCGCGTTTGCCGTTTTAACTTCTTGGCTAGAGAGGCCAGCGCGGAGGAGGATGACACACGAGGCACACGCATAAACGGGTGTTATTATTTGTAAATGGTTATGAAGAGAGGGGGGGATCGATACCTCTGCCCATTATATGTGGCTTAGTGTATATCGAGAACGCAGCTTCCCAGAGCGGCCTCGTGTCGTCTCTAGGAGACGAGAAATTGAATGTCGGCAGTTGAAACACATATTCCACTGCCATATCGTCAAGTCAAACACACCATCCGCGGCTCCAGCCCTTCCTCCTCCGCAATATCTAGACCTTCCCCCTGGCACAAACCATGTATATACGTGTCGCCGCCAACCATCCTATGTCCCACCCACGTCTCCGGCTCCGCCCCCCGCTCCCCGCCCTGCAGCCCGGCCCTCGCGCCTCTCACCTCCTCCCCGTCCTCGCGCAGCACAAGCGGGAACCTCGCGCCGTGGCAGACGTAGACCTTGTCGCCCGCCCGCACCTGGTCGCACCCGTTGCCCAGGTATCCGCGCCGCGTCCGGTACAGCCTCCGGCCCTTGAAGACGAGCCGGCCGGTCCACCGCTTCCGGTCCGCCAGCGCGCCGTCCAGGAAGGACCGGAAGACGTCGCCCAGCGACGCGTCGGCGAACCTGCCGCCGCCGCCGCCGGACGAGTTGTACGCCAGCGTGCGCCAGTAGGTGTCCCAGCGGTCTTCTGCCGAGATGTACGGGCCTGACAACACGTCCTCCCCCATCGCGAACTCGTTCCACGCCGCCCAGACCGGGTCCAGGGGTTTATCGAACTCATCAATCGTCATGCTCACCTCAACCACGGACGCGACCACATCAAACTCCACCCCCAGCACAACAACAGCCCACCCCGTCCCCTCCAGCAGATCCACGGTAACACCATACCTCATCCCAGCCCCGTGCGGCGGCGCGCCGTACGAGCTCAGCGCGTACCCCGTGTCGCAGAACGGCGTCCCCTGCGACCAGTCGGGACACCAGGACGGCAGGACCTCGTGCGCGCGCGCGCCCAGGCAGGTGGCGGCCAGCACGTCCAGGGTGCCCGTCTGCACGACGTGCGCGAGCGCGAAGTAGAAGCAGTTCTGCGCGACTGTGCGGCCGTAGCCCGCGTGCCGGAGGAAGCGGTCCGAGTCGTCCGGGGGCGCGAGGCCGGCTAGGGCGAAGATCTTGTCGCTCGCGGAGCTGGCGAGCTGGTGCCGGAACTGGCGGAGGAGGGGGAGGGTGGGGATGTACCTGTACCTTGTGCGTGCCTCGTTGAGGGCAGAGGAGAGCTGGAAGGGATCCCGGCAGGCGGTAAGCAGTACCTGCCGGACCCGACGCCACGTGTCTGCCCAGGAAAGGGGCTGTTTGATCTCGCGGATGAGCATGTTGATCGCCATGGCGGACTTGAAACCGGTCACCACGTCCATGGTGCGCGCGCCGGGCCAGGCGTAGATCAGCTCGTGCACGACGTCCATCAGGCCCTCCCAGCCGGCCGTGTGCGGCCCGACTCGGACGAGCAGCCTGCGGGCGAGGCCGGCTTCCTGGACGATCCACATGCGTCTGAACCACGGCCGGGCGAGCAGTTCCATCCGTGCGTTGTGGAATAGGACCGCGTCCTCTTGTGCAAAGGTCCTGAGTCGAGCCTCGGTGCTGGGGAAGAGCTTCTTCCCCGGACGGAAGACGTCTGCTAGGAACCAGTCCGCGGGGGCGCGGCGCATCCGCCACTTCTTCCACCAGATGTGCGAGTTGCGGTACTCGTACTCGAGAGCGTTCATGAAGGCGAATAGCACGTCGACGCCTTCGGTCTCCTCGCCTAGGTATGCCACGACGACGTCGGCCTCGCGGTAGATGGCGCCCATGTACCCGATGTGTCTGGACTTCTCGTCCAGGTCCTCCTGGTTAATGGATATCTGGTCTATCCAGAGCGTGCCGTGCGCCTTTGGAGAGCGGCTATGGGCGAGGGCATTGTGTGCGTTTGCCGTGATCATGTATGTCATTCCATTTATCAGGATCTCTTGCGTCCTCTCGCTCTCTTCGCCCCAGCAGTAGGAGAGCGCGTGGTATGAGGGCATGCGCCTTCGGCCGCGCAGCGGATGGACGCTCATGGAACCGGTGAGCGGGCCATGTCCCGTCCCGGGATCGAGAGTGAGTAGCCGTGTACAAGGGCCGGCGAGCAAAGGCTCGAATACAAATGGTGAGAGGGCATTTTCAACAACGTCGTCGCCTGCGGCTGTTGCTGCTGGGAGGAGGGCTTCCTGGCTTGAGGCCATTGTCTAGACATTCATTACTTGACTGGCTGAATTTATATGGCTCGCAAGCCATAATTCCTGCATTAGAGACATACCGTCAACGAGGCCGCCTAAAGATGCACGAGGCGGTGACGGCCAGGTTCACGTCGAGTTACACTGTCTCAGCCTCATGCTGTACATTATGAATTGCTGTGCAAACCCTAACCCGGTGAAACCTTCTGAACGCCTGACCCTCTCTCAACTGCAAAGTAAGGCATCGAATCGTTAAACTCCCATCATTGCTGCCATCAGTCCCGCCAAGCCCAAGAAACAAGGACATCACTACAGCAGCACAACAATCAAGCAAAGCCACCCATCCGGATACGCGGCTTCTCTCATCAGCTCCTCCAGGGGGGCCGAGAAGGGAACCGGCGCGCCGTGCATGATGACGTTAGCAAGCACGGGGTCACGGCTGCTAGGGAATAAAGTCGGGAGAAGAGTCCTCAGGGCAGTGCCGAGGGTTTGGGGGACTCCTGAGACCCGGTGAGCTTTCAGATTGTGGCAAACAAGGCAAGAGGAGAAGGGTACTCACGACTCGATGTCCGTGGGGGCATCAAGGTCTGCATGACCTTGTACTCTGCCGCTGCGGAGTCGCCGTTGGGCGTTGATGGGATGTAGATCCGCAGGGGAACCGATTTCAAGGGTGTGGGAGGGTTCAGGAGGCGACTGTTCACCTTTGCGAATGCATTGTAGTCATCTGTGATTGTGTGAGAGAGCAATCTCAAGAGTTGTGACGGGCGTGTTTCATTAGAACGGTCTAGATCTCCAACGGCCGGCGGAACAGATGTCAGGCGGGTGTTGATCACAGTGACAGGAGGGACCTCCCGCATGTCACAGTGGTCACTCTGGCCATTGCTGCCCAATACCACCCATGCGAACAAGGACATGGCTGGGGGGGCAGTGAAAGGGGCGAGGCCTCGAACACTCCATATCGAGGCCAAATATAGAACAGGGAGGTACTTACTATCCTGGACAGCATTCCACAGTGCATTCGTATCCGCCTTGGACAAGCTCATGATCTGCTGCGCGTTGTTGTTCCTGACGAAGTCGGCCTCCTTGGCACCGTTGAGGAAGGTGTCACCGATATCCCACTCGGGCCCGTCCCCGACAACCAGGCGCCATGGCAGCGAGGCGGGTTGGTACAGGTCCACCAGTAGACCGACGGGTAGGTTGCGCAGCTGCACCTCCTCGTGGTGGAAGCTCGAGCAAGCTGTGCCGAAGTAGGCCGTCAGCCGCGGCAGGAGCAACGCCAGGTAGCTGAAGCGAGGAACTGAGACGATGAACGGCGGTCTGCTGCTGTCTGAGGGGTGGGTGATGTGCAGCGGTACCTCGAGGGACCACAGTGTGTGAGGGATGGTGGTGGCGGTGGTCGGTCCTGGTGAGGGCGAGTCCCTGGCGTCGGGCGAGGTCCCAACCCCCATTCCGCTTGGGACCCGGTTGCCACGAGCAGTTCCTGGACTGCGACCTGGTGGAAGCCCCGGAGATGATGGAGATGCCATCGCACGGATGTTTGGATGAAGGTGTAGGGCGGATACGAGGCGGAGACGTTCCGCAGAGCAAACAGAACGGGGATTAGGCGTGACAGGCCACAGGTACGGACGTATCGTCAGCGTCCAGAACTACCCCATCCTAAATCTCGCCCCATCACTTTGTCCTTCTGTACTTCAATTAGGAAGGAGGAGGCTTCCTGGCAGCCTGGACGATTCGTTCTACGTGCTGGTAAAGATGTTCGATGTTGTTGTCCAATGACTGGCTGTAAGGCTGGAGGACGTCGATCACTCGCTGAAGCTCACAGTGGGTGGGGCGCAGTTTAAGGACAAGCTTAACGCCGAAGCGAGCGACTAGCGCCATCGGTACGTACCTGGCTTGCAAATTCTTCCCCGAGCAGCAAAGGCACTCGATATCTTCAGCAAAAGTGCATTGGAACAAAAGATGAAGCCCTCACAGGCTTTCAGCATCACGAGAGGCAAAACAAATGGTCCCATTGGGGGTTGAACCCAAGACCTTCGCATTACTTGATGGATCCTATCACGACTCACGAAGAGAGGTGATATGTTTGAATCTATTAGTACGACGCTCTAACCAACTGAGCTATGGGACCGGCTGATGGAAACAAGCCATCGCTAATACGCTCTATCTGCCGGGGATGTGGAACTCGGAGTTCAGACCGACCCGCTGTGGGAGCTAGATCAGATCGATCCATGACTCGACAAGCGGCTCCGAGAAGGCCGGCATGGTTCCCTCCACCACCGCTTGACCACGCATCAGGTCCCGGACATAGCACTCCCCGACCAGGACGTATCCAGCCTTCTTCTGCCGTATCAGGAACGGCATGTCAGCTCCGTGCAGGACGCACAGCACGTCGCCTTCTCTCGCCGCCTCGGGTCCGAGACCAACCAGACCTCCAACCGTGTCGAATTTGGCACGACGGGACCCCATCGTGGCGGCGACGTCCAAGAAGCGATCCGCGTTGCCGCCTGCGGAGAGCCTCCCCAGCTCTTCGAGTGTCACGTAGTCCTCCTGTCTCTTGCAATCGGCCTTCTCTCCTTGTTCTGCATCATGTTTCTTCCCCTGGTTATATGCAGTCAGTGACCAGACCAACCCGTCTTTGATGAGGCAGCGGCAGTAATCGGCGAGATGCGCTGCCACGTCCTCAACCGGAAACCCGTACCAGTTCTGGCCAGCGGTGAGGTTCAGCGCAACATTCTCGAGGTCCGTTCGTCTGAGCTGCACCTTCTCCAGCATCTCGCCCAAGTCTGGCTCGTGTCTCGGCACGCTCCTCCACTTGCGCCCGTGTTTCTGGTCTGCCTCGTTCACCCCTCGCCAAAACGATTGGAAGTTGGGGTGCCAGCAGGATTTTACCGTGTCGATGATGACGCCCCGGACTGTGAGCTTCCGCGGATCGTCTTCGTTTATCCTGCGGTTGTAGGGCTTGTCACCCGAGGCCCTGAAGCCGGCGCCGTGGAATTGGTGCGGTGGACGCAGGCTTTGCGTCAGGAGAAATGACCATTGCGGCACCCAGGAGGGGATGCTGGGGTCGTACGCGTCCCACCTTGGGACATAGTACATCCTCATTGCGCCAGTCTTGTGTTTTCTCTGTACGCTGGAGAGGACAGACAGGCCTTCACGGTCGACCAGCTTGCTAGCAACTTCAAAGTACACTTCGCCTGCGGATTTGGTGTAGTCCGGAACAATCTGCGTCGGAACATTGTCAGTCGTCGGCAGACCTAGGAGACCATAGACCCTGTCACGGTCGTCCTTGCAGTCGAACTGCCTGGTCAACTTCAGCAGCTCGTAGAAGCTGAAACTGAGCGGCCGGTTGTAAGCCTGCGAGCGACACAGCCGGTACATGAAATAAGCGTTAACCACGCCCAGGGGCACCCTCCGACTCGGGCTGAACTGCGGGTACCCAAATGGCCTCTTCGGCCCCTCCCTGATCGATCTAGCTATCCGGTCGTAGTTCGTCCTAATGACCGCCGCAGCGAGTCCGATGTACTCCCAGTCAATCGATGCCTCGTCCCAGATGACAATCACGTCGCGGGCAAGGGCTACTTCCTGGATAACCCAGACGCGCGAGAACCAGCGCTGCTCGAACAGGTCGAATATCTCGTGCCAGTTCTGAGAGTCCGAACGGAGTTTGTCGTTGAAACGTTCCTCTCTAGGGCGGCTAAATGGCTTGCTATGCGTCGCCTCCGGGATGATGTGAGCGTAGCCCGATCTTTCTCTCCAGGCGTTCACGATCGAGCACACCCCCGAGAAAGCTCTGTACTGGTGCCGAAGATGGACCGGAGGAGTAGGTTGGTATGGGATCAGAGGCCCCGGCCCCAACCAAATCACGAGGCTGAAGGCGTTCTCGTATATGGACTTCATCTTGGCGACCTGGTGGCTCCTCTCCGCCAGGTCGCCCTGGTTGATGCAGAGTGCATCCGCCCAGACCATCCGAGACACGTCGGAGAACCGAAGGCGGTTCAAGGCGGCGGCCAGGTTGAGCGAGACCTCCATGGGCACTCCGTTGACCTTGATCCAGAGCTTGGTTTCGTCGTCTCGCCCGAGATTCGATCGCAGAACCCAGGTGTAGGATAGCGCGCAGTATGTGTGTTTGTCCCGCGGGAGACATGCGACGTGCAGACGGCATTCTAGTGGGTAGCTGTTGCCAGGTAAGATCTCTAAAAGGCGGATATGGTCGTCCGATGGCAGAGGGCCGTCGTAGATAGAGGACTCTCCTGGCAGGTCTGGCGCAGAGAGACCGCATTTGCAACCTCCATCAGGGCGACATGTAAACGGGAGAATCTGTGTTGGGCCTGCCAACGGCGGTTGCAGTTGTAAAGGGGGTTGTTCCGGTGCGGATGAAGTAGACAAAGACTCGAGACAGGCCGACAGGTCCTGGTCGTGGATGATTCTCCCCGTGCCATAGTAGTAGTAGTTGCGCACTGGCGATGGTCAGCTCCTCTCCGCTGGGAGTGATCAGTGAGAACTTCTACCGTTTCCGGGGTGCGAAAGCACGCTTTCCACCGGAGGTTCCTCCCACAGCGTCTCCGGACCGTCGAGGAACGAGTCCACCTGTGCCTCTGCCTGGTCTTCAACCTTTTCCTCAGCGCCATATGCCCCAAGCAACTGCGCCTTTGGCATTATGTCTTCAAGAGGATGGGGTATCATCTGTCCACAGCCCATGAGACCCTCATCTTCATAGTCACTCGTGTCGTCAGTGTCGGCTTTTCTTGCAACTGGGCACATCCTACGACGAAACTCCAGCTCGCTGCCGCTGTCATCTTCCGTGGTAACCCATTCGTCACTGCTCGAATTTGGATCGCAGCCTACTAGACTGCTGCCACGGCTGTCGCCATATCTCTGCATTTTCTTCATGGCACTTCACGGCACAGATGTGCCTCTGAGGTGTAAATGAGAACAAACGTCAACGAAATGATGCAGCCAGGTCGCAGTGTAAAGGGGCAATGACGCTTGGAGTACACCCTCATCACGCATCATGAGCTGCAAACATCGCTATAAGAACTTAAGTGCAGTCTTTCAAGAGAAGAGGCCCTTGGGAGTTCACGCTTGTGCCACCCCAAGACAAATAAGCATCGGGACAGACTTCAGCCGCGATCCTACCATGGCGAAGGAAATACATGTGAACGATCGGGTACGAGACCCGGCTGGAGGCTTTCTGATCGCGAGCTCAGAGTTTGTGAGGAAAGGCAAACAACCAACGGGTCACACATCACACAAGATATCTATTTCCTGTCTACTTGTGTGAATAATGGGAAAAGTTTCTTGCAAGATGTCGTATCGTGAGGTATCGTTTGGTGGTATATGCAGCAAAACGGACATCAACCTCGCTTAAACGAATGAAAACTGCCTTCGCACATCTCGCTGCAACCTCATCTCACCTCGACCTGAATGTCATCACATCATATCATCGGCTTTCAATTCTCATTACCTTGCTGTTCCTTCTGTCACCATCTTCATTATAGAATCGCTTTAGTACACGCAGTCATTCATTTGATTCATGCGCTCTTTACTACGTGTTGAGATGACCTGACATCTTCGCCTTCTCATCCTGGATAAGACATCCAAGCCCAGCATCATGGCGACCTTCAAAATGTTCAAACTCAGACCTCTGCTCAGGCAACCCTTCCTCACGCAGCAAAGACTCTCCAGCACAGCCCCCCAAAGAAAGACATCCGACCCCCTCAGAATCCTCTTCTGCGGCTCCGACGAATTCAGCGCAGCCTCCCTCTCCGCCCTGGCCCTCGAGCACACCCGCAACCCCTCCCTCATCCACTCCATAGACGTCCTCGTGCGTCCCCCAAAACCCACAGGCCGCGGCTTAACAATCCTCCGCGAGGTACCCCTCCAGTCCGTAGCAGAATCCCTCTCCCTCCCCGTCCACGCCGTCGACACCTTCACCGGCTGGCAACCCCCCCTCCCTTACAACCTGATCGTGGCCGTCTCCTTCGGCCTCTTCGTCCCGCCCCGCATCCTCCGCTCCGCCGCGTACGGCGGGCTCAACGTCCACCCCTCCCTGCTGCCCGACCTGCGCGGCCCGGCGCCGCTGCACCACGCCCTGCTCCTGGGGAGGACGCACACCGGCGTCTCGCTGCAGACCCTGTCAGAGGAAAGTTTCGACTCGGGCGAGGTCCTGGCCCAGACGCCGCTGCCGGGGTTTCCCATCGCGAAGGGGATGAAGGTGCCCGCGCTGCGGGACATGTTGGCCGCTCTAGGCGCGAGGATGTTGGTCGACGGTCTGAGGGCGGGCGTGCACGTCCCTCCCCGGAAAGACGTGGGCTGGACGCCCACCGAGGAGGAGCGGGAGGGCATAGCGCACGCGCCGAAGATCACCAAGAAAGACGCGGAGATACGGTGGGACGCGTGGATGCCGGAGACCATGGCGCTCAGGGCGAGGGTGCTGGGCGATGCGCTGTGGAGCCGGGCTGTGGCGCGGGACGGCAGGACGAAGAGGGTCATTCTCAGTGGTGTTGAGGAGGTGCCGTTGTCGGAGCGGCCGGTCGAGGTGGCGAGGTATTTTGAGGGTGGGAGGGACGAGAGGATGGCTATGAAGGAGCAGGGTGTGGTCCGGTTTGTCGCGTGGAGCATGTCAGGTGGAGAGCAGGATACTGCTGGAGAAGAGGGAACGGGGGGGCCGCGTGGGATATTCGTCCCCTACTTCAAGGATGTAGGGGTTGAGGGGGCTGTGGTGATACCTTTCGCCGGCGGCGATTGTGTCAGGGTACGTGGGATCAAGCTGGAGGGGGAGCAGGCAGTTTCGAACGCCTTCGCGTCCAACCGCTTCAAGCGCATTTCGTACACCGCTGAGGAGGTACGGAAGCTGAAAGACAATCCGAGAAATTTTGGTGCCGGTGATTCAAGGGCGGCCTTTTTTGGGGTCGATGCCATTGGATCCAGTGTCTTGGGCCTGTTGGATGGAATACTCGACTGAAAGAGCTTGTTGTCGTGTAAGATGGACGGACGATATGTTCTTAGGGTAGTTAATCGCCCTTCACCAGATGTACAACAAAATTATGCAACTCATCACAACAGATATAACGGAGACATGAAACTCTGGCAACAGCTTCTATTCCTTGGCTAGAGCCGCTGGCCTCG